CAAAATAATTTTTACCAAATCTTCCAATGAAAGTAACATTTGCCCCCAGTTTGGCATGCAACCATATTCCCAAGTTGTTGAATTGGTTATGAAAGAATGTTCATTGAAATTAAGCTCTAAGTCTTTAACTAAGGGTAATCTTTCAAGGTTTAGGAAATAAAGTTTCAAAAGGAAGGCCTTCTATCCTTGGATCTTCTACCATAGGCATCAAAATGATAACAATCACCTAACAAAGTTAGCGAAAATTCCACCATTTCGTCATCTTCTTTTTTTTTTTTTTCTTTTTTTTTTCTGGTTTTGTGCAATTTGTGGCAATTCTTAAATATGATTCCTTGGCAAAGGTTTCAAATGGTAAGGATAAGGATTCTCAAGCTTTCTATCATAGGAATGTTTGTTTCAAATTTTGAGATCAATTTCTCTTTGTACATTTTTGTCATTCCTACTCATCCATTATTTCTCCCTCTGTCACTTCCCTCGTTTCTCAAACTTTCCTCTTTCCTTAAGCCTCAAGTTTCTTTATGAGGTTCAAAATTGAATTCAAGTTCATTAATAATTGAAATCATGGAAGTATAAAATCAAGAACCGAAAAACTATGAATTAAAACATGAAGAACAAATATTCGAATTGCAATATGAAAAGAGTTTGGAAAATGCAAATGAAAACTAACATTATGGACACATGTTATTCCAAACTGATAGTAATAGGGAAAAATTCCATTGTTCACTTATTCAAGCCCTCATCAGTAGCAGTTCTAAGATCAACCTTGTTTGAGTGGAACTGTAAGCGCTATTAAAGGCTATCTAGGAGTTGATGAAACTTGATTGGTGAGAGTAACTGTAGCCACCTCTTGACCTTCCTCAAAATCCTTCTCGATCATATTGACTATTGAACCATTGTGCGTTGGTAGGGGGTTTTTTAGTGATATTCAGACCAACAAGTTCGAGTTCTGATGTAATCTGTAACTCCTTTGCCTCTATCAGATCTTGGATATGATGCTTTAATAGCAAGACAATTTTCAAGGTCATGTCCAACACCTCCACTATGGTATTCACATCTTGCTTGTGGGTTTTACCATGTTGGAAATGGTGGATGTAATGGCACCATAGGTACAGGAGTAACAATTCCAGTTGCTACTAATTTTCGAAACACTTCAGTATATGACAACGGAAGCTTATCAAAATGCTGTCTCACTTGTTGTGGACGATTGACCCTAGAGGCGTAAACCGGCCTTGGTTGGCTTGTAAAAGCCGTTGATTGATGAGTTAAAACTTGGAACCGACTATCGAACTACCCATGTGATTGTTTATTTCTTCCATATGCCTCATAAACTGAGCTTATAGAGCCATTCTCATCTTCCTTCTTTTGATTTTGGCCAACCTTCTTTGAACTAGAAGCCCCTAAACTATCATTTTGGTATTGTTCAAGGAGACTCTTCATTGCTTGATAATCCATGATAATTCCAGACTTGATTCCATCTTCCACTTGTTCTCCCACAACAACCAACTAGGCAAAAGTGTAATTCACACAAGTTATTAACTTCTCATGATAAGGTCCTTTGGTTGACTTGATGAATAAATTACTTAATTTATGATCAGTCAATGGAGGTTGAACTCGAGCAGCCAATCCACACCATTTCTGAGCAAATTCCTTAAAGTTCTCACTTCGTTTCTTTTTTGCCCTTTGAAGATCTTCTCTACTATGAGCTAGTGATGTATTGCATTCATACTACTTCATAAAATTGTAAGACAAATCATGCCAACTTTTGACCTTACTTTTGTCTAAAGTAAAGAACCAAGCATCTACAAGACCTGTCAGACTGTCTTAAAAGTAATGTATCATTAGCTTCTCATCATTGGCATAAGGAGCCATCTTCCTACAATACATTGTCAAGTGGGCATAAGGACAACCAGTGCCATTGTACTTATCAAACTCAGGCAATTTAAACTTATGTGGCAGTTAAATGTTTGGAAAAAAGCACAAAGATGAGATGTCAACCGGTTTATTGGTTTGGACACCTTGCATCGATTTTAGTGTTTCCTCCATCAACTGCACCTTCGCTTTAATTGCCTTGTGTTCATCCTCTGTGATTGACTTGTCAACTTGAGTCTCTTCTTGATCATTAGATTGGGCTGTAGCAACACCAGCATTTAAATCAAATGGTTTGACCCCAGAAATTCCACCAATAGTTGGATTTGGTGGGCAAGATGACATTGGCTCCTTTCCAAGAGTAGATATGGAAATAAGGAGATTTGCCACAGAAACATTTCCTTCAAACAAGGGATTTGTTGTCAAAGGTGCCCTTGTGACTAAGGTTGCTTGAAAAGATTGAAAGGAAGCCATCAATTCCTTCAAAGTATTTTCCATATTTTCAACACGATTTTCCAGAGCTACCTTCTCTAAATTAGCTTTGTCAGCCATCTTCCTTACAAGAGTTCTAGTGAGAATAGGTGAATGAACTCTTGAATAGTTCTTTTTAGGACCAATCTTTCAACACCTAAATAAAATATGAGCATTATTAACAAATCATGAATTTATCTAATTGGTATTTTGAAAGATAAGTTCCCAAAGTTCCCATTAATGAGTAATCCTAACTTCTAATTATTTATTTTTATTTTTACACATGGATTCTTCATTGTCATGAATAACTTCAGCCATTTGTATGTAAAGGGAATGAGAAATTAAAGCCAAGCAATTGTCGCAGCAGCCAAAAACATGAAGAGATTGCCTCCTTCATGATCTTTTAGAATTTTTTTTTTTTAAGTAAAAGAAAAATAATGAGGAGATTGCCTCCTTCATATCTTTTCTTCTTTTTATTGAGGAACTTGCTTTTTCTCAACATATAGAATTCAAGAAAATGTGAAATTTGACTTCAAATGCTCAACCTCAACCATTTCAAAATAGATTTCATTGATCAACTTTTGAATTCATTGTTGGATGACTAAATAATAATTGAAAATATTTTTCAATGGTGAGCACAAATTTAAACTCAGAAAAAAAACAAAGCAACAAAGACACAGGACATAAAATCTTAGGATTGCCCTAATGATTTCATAGTCCAACTCCACTTGCAAGACATCAACTATTCTACCAACTTTCTTGTCAAACCTCACTTTGTCAAGATTACTTAGACTATTTCAAGCAGTAACCAAGTCTTTTACACAAGGTCTTTTGGTTTGCATAGAGAATACATCCTTGTGTGACTTGTTCCCCTTGGATAACAGCGAACATTGTAACTCTAAATTCACCCTTTTCCTCTTGTTGATTTTTTTTTTTCCAAAGAATTCATGTGTAAAATAATGAATTACCTATTTATTAAAAAAAGAAAAAGGAGAGTTAATGAATGTCATACCTCTTGGTTGAATTCCTTACCTAAGAAACACAAAATCATTGTTTAAAAATAAAATACTCCCCACATGTCCTATGTATAAGGTTCTTAAACTTTGAAGGTGATTTACTAGGCTGGCCGTCCTAGGGTTAAGTTTTGTCTAAGTCCATTACATGCGGTTTCCTAGTGGATCCTATACGATTAGGTTTTTTTCAACTGCTAACTTCCATAAGTCAACAATTATTGACTTCCATAAAGTCAACAATTGCTAGCTTCTACAGAGTTAACAAGAGACATTTCATGACCTAATACAGTAGCAG